CATCTCTTGGAAAGCTGGGCACAGCAGTAGGCATCCTGGCTATGTCTTTTTTTAAACAAAACCAATTGCTTTAAAGGCAAGAGTTAAAATACTTTGGATGAAATTAAAACATGTAGTCCGTTTCCTAAGGGTAAACCCTATGCTGCTCCATGTCCCTAAAAAGCAATTGCATGCAATGAGTTTGTCCAGCTTGCACTCCAGGCTTTGATTTCTTTCACAACATATAATGGGTTCACCCCACACTTAGATTAAATTGATGACAGATTAAGCACACACAAAAGAGTGCATCACACATGCAGCAAGCAGACAGGGGCAGGAAGGGATTGATCTAGCATTAGCACAAAGCATTCTTTCCTGATGAACAACAGATGTGCTGCCCATGCTAATGAATTAAATGATTAATAAGTATACATCATGTTAGACTTTGTTGTCTCTTCTGTACCAGTAGCCCATTCTATTTTTATTTTTTTTACTAATATCACTTATAACCCTAGTTTCAGACTGTTGATTAGCTCCTGGAGGCAGAACCGTTGTTTTATTGTCTCACTTTAGTTCAGAGCCTATTACTGTATTTGGTTTTACTAGGACACTGTTTTCACTTTGCTGTTTTTTCTCCCATCTCTGAATTGACCTTTTCCATGCAGTATTTCATACAAGTGCATTCTTGCCCCACATTTTAGCTGCTTAGACTTTTTGTTCTTTTTGCCTTGCCTTTTGTTATTCTCTACTAGTGAGCCATCCCACCTCACCTCTTGCTATTCTGCAGAGTATGTTTAGATGTTACAAGATTCCGGATGAGGTCAGACACTATTCAAGAGGATATAAATTCAGGTTCAGGTTCTGAGGACACGTTCTACAAGCATCAGCCCAACACAAATTCTTTGCAACTCTTCAGTTTTTGATTAACTATATCAGAAGATTGCAAAAAATTATGAACAGAATGCAACAACTCACCATACTTCATAATATTGATTAGTTTGACCTTAATAAAAGTAATGCATATTGTTTATAGGTGTCTGTGCACCTTATAGGGTATGGCAATAATCAACAAACCTGCAATTGCAGTGTTCACATGTAATGTACATTCTGAAGCTGGAATCTCTGACACTGGATAAGGACCACAGTAGATGAGTATTTATTAGGAAAAAGTTCCGCAATTAATTTTCTACATTAGATTCAGAGACTCCAGAAGGCTTTCTCCCAAAAAAACATAGTGATGTTAGTTGTGTTATTGTTGGCAGGAGAAGGGAAATTGGAGGCATGGCAATCTCTGTGAATTCACCATATAGAGGATTCAGGTATATGCTCCACATAACACTGAACTACAGGTAATCCTCGATTTATTAGCACAATTGGGATCAGCATTTCCATTGCCAAGCAAGGAGGTTGTTAAATGAGGTGTGTCCAATTTTATGACCTTTTTTGGCCATGGCTTTGTGAATTGCTGCAGCTATTTAGTGAATCATGCAATTGTTAAGTGAACCTGGCTTCCCCCATTTGACTTTGTCGGAAGCTAGCTGGAAAGATTGCAAATGGCGACATATGACCTCAGGAAGCTGCAATTGTCATACATACATGCTGGTTCCCAAGTATGTGAATTTTGATTATGTGACCATGAGGATGCTGTGACAGTTGTAACTACGAGATCCAGTCATAGATCACATTTTTCAGTGTCATAACTTTGAATGGTCACTAAATGAAGGGTGCAGGGAAATCAAGGACCACCTGTACTATATTGTAGCACTACATAGAATGTTAATATCATTCTAGGAGAAAAATAAATGGTCACCACGATGTAAAAAAGATGTTGAGACTCTAGAAAGAGTACAGAGAAGAGCAACAAAGATGATTAGGGGACTGGAGGCTAAAACATATAAGGAATGGTTGCTAGAATTGGGTATGTCTAGTTTAACGAAGAGAAGAACAAGGGGGGACATGATAGCAGTATTCCAATATCTCAGGGGCTGCCAAAAAGAAGAGGGAATTAAGCTATTTTCCAAAGCACCTGAAGGCAGGACAAGAAGCAACGGGTGGAAACTAATCAAGGAGAGAAACAATCTAGAACTAAGGAGAAACTTCCTGACAGTGAGAACAATTAACCAGAGGAACAGCCTGCCTGCAGAAGCAGTAAATGCTCCAACACTGGAAGTTTTTAAGAAGAGACTGGAAAGCCATTTGTCCGAAATGGTGTAGGGTTTCCTGCCTGAGCAGGGGGTTGGACTAGATGACCTACAAGGTCCCTTCCAACTTTACTACTATTACTATTACTAAATAAGAAATCTCACTCTAAAATGCACATTGTACACATCTTGTGCATATCAAAGCACTACATTCCTAGCAATAAAATACTAGGCAAAAAAAAAAAAAAATCTCCTAAACTTTTCCCAGCTAAGAAATGAATGATTTTTTTTCCTGACAGACATAGAACCTCTTGGTGGTTGTAGGCTGACATCTACCACAGGAATAACTTGATCCTGCAGAACTTTGATACAATACCAAATATTGTTTACATTTCTTCATTTTAATATTAAGGTTTTTTAAAAGTGCCTATTTCAATGGCTCTAGGAGGTTTCCATGGTAAACTATGAAGCAGAAAAGCTTTCCACTATATCCCATCCCTAAAGTTAACTTGGAAAAACATAGATAAAAATAGCTGGTTAGCCACCATCAAATTAGGTCTCAAAAGCCCACTCCTTTAATAAATCTTTTCATGTTTTTCAGAAATACCAAGAGTAAGGGAGTCAAATACCTGTGGGTGCTGGTTTCCAAATATAAACTTGCCCATTCATCATTCTTAAAAGATATTTATAGAGGCATGTTGCTTCCTCTATAATATTGTCTATAAATAATACACAACTTTCTTGTTGCCACTCCATTATATCTTACTTCACTTACCATACTGACTGGCACTAATATAAATTTGAGTAAACAATATCTAGAAGATCCCTTCCCTTGCTTAGAACATGCTATGGCTTGACATTTGTATTTAATCCTCCTTTAAATGCCTGGATTTGCTGATGGCCTGCAGTCCTATATATCCAAGAATGGACTTTACTGGATTAATGTGGCTTTCTTCCAAAGAGACATATCTAGAATATGGTTAAACTGCCTTCTTTTTTCAGAGACAGACTATTACAACAGGATATTAGAAGAAATCAAGGAAAGTCAGAGTAGAACAGGAAATATGAAATCTGGCTTTCCAAATATTACTGCACTAAAATTTCCAACAATCCTAAGCAGCATAGCTAATGGCTAGATATCTTAGAAATTGGAAGTCAGCATGTAGGAATGATAAATGAGTTTGACTGCAGACTCGAATTGTAAAATGTATCTAATGCAATAATGGCCTTGTCTTGGTTTTGCCTTCTGCAGGCTAATTATACACAGTCCCTTTAACTGCTCCTCACAGGACTTTCCTTCTGGATCCCTCACCATTCTGGCATCCCCCTTCCAAAATAGCTACAACTGTCAATGTGCTTTTTAGACTGCAGCATCTAGAAGTGAACCCAGATAAAATTAGTTCCTGATCTATGCTCCTGTTTATATATCTCAGAATAGCATGTCTTTTTAGCAGCTCCTTCACTCTGTTGGATCATATCTGTGATCAGTTACAGAACCCATCTTTTCACATATATACAATCAAGTATATTGTAACACATAGCGTATATTTTGCAATTATGTTAAGGTTATTATGAGAAACACCACTGAATGATTTGCTGAGATCAAGGTACACTATGTCTGAGGCATTTCCAAAATCTATTAAAATAGCAATTCTGTCAGAAAAAAGAGAGGCTTAGCCTGGCATCATCATCATCATAATAATAATAAAGTTGGAAGGGACCTTGGAGGTCATCTAGTCCAAACCCCTGCTCAGGCAGGAAACCCTATACCATTTCAGACAAATGGTTGCCCAGTCTCTTCTTAAAAACTTCCAGTGTTGGAGTATTCACAGCTTTTGGAGGCAGGTTGTTCCACTGGTTAATTATTCTAACTGTCAGGAAATTCCTCCTTAGTTCTAGGTTGCTTCTCTCTTTGATTAGTTTCCATCCGTTGTTTCTTGTCCTGCCTTTAGGTGCTTTGGAGAATAGCTTGATTCCCTCTTCTTTGTGGCAGCCCCTGAGATATTGGAACACTGCTATCATGTCCCCCCTCGTCCTTCTCTTCATTAAACTAGACATACCCAATTCCAGCAGCCGTTCCTTATATGTTTTAGCCTTCAGTCCCCTAATCATCTTTTGGCAAACCATGCTGGCTTTTGTTAATTGTTGCATTCCTACCAAAGCGTTCATAAACATGCTGTTTAATTATCTGCTCAAGAATCTTGCCCAAAATTGATGTCAAAGTGACAGACAGATCCTGGCAACTGACATGTATATTTCTTTGGTTATATACTTCTATTTCCTATGTAGGTCCCTTTTTCTTCTCAAATACTTCAGAAAAAACTGTATGTATCACAGTGGTCTAAATAGAGACCAATTTCCCCTTCTTCCTTCTAGCAGAAATAGTTTGCACCTTTCAAATTTCATTTTCCAGTCTTCCACTTCTTCCCGGGTGCTTTTCTCCTTATGAATTTCAAGCCAATGGATCTACCTTTTGTCTGAGTACATCAAAATCTGTTCTTCTGAAAGCTAACATGCAAGTTGGAATCTTCGGTATTTCTCCTGGCTTTGATGCCATAAGTTCAAGGATAACGTGTTTCATTTTGAGTAACATTCATTTGAAAAACTGCAAAGATCCACTAGGAAGAATCCATTGGCATGACTGCAGAAAGTATCTGTTGCACCCACACTTCCTTTGGTTTTTCATCCAATATCATCATTCATTTATACATGATAATCAGAAAGAGACAGCTCAGTAAGCAAACTCTTTGGCTCAACTGGTAATATAAACCTACATAAATTGTGGAGGTTACTTCAGATATTGCATGTTTATCGTTGTTTTAACCCACCCTACCCCCTAGCTAAACACGTAGAAACTCACACATATGTATACCAAGCATATAGGATAACATGAGGCATTGAATTGTCATGTGTTTATTACAAATGCAAAAAGAACCTCTCTTCTTTGAGGAACAGGTATAAGCAGACAACTTTGCAATATCTCATTCAACAGATCCAGGTGCCCCCGTTAGCTGATGCAGATGAAATACAGGAGCAGCTCCTAAGAAGATGGGAAGCAAATGTGGCACTGGTATGTGAGTGAATACAAGCAGAGAATGAAGTAGTAAGCATTCAATACAACTTGAGTAATGTAAAAGTAACACCTCCTGCCCTGCAAGGCAAATAATAATGCTAGCATAAGCAGGAAAGATTCTTTCCAAGATCAGATATCACTAATATCTGTGCTTACAGAAGATTACTTAACTTAGAGGTAATCCTTGCTTAGTAACCATGACTTGGACTGACAACTTGGTACTAAGCAAAAAATCATGTGAGTTCATGACCTTAGTTCTCCTTTGCTTAAGCAAAATGCCATGGTTACTAAGCAAAAATATGATTGTGATTTATTTTACTTCCATTTTCTTTATTAAGTCTGCTTATTGCAAACTGGTTGCAAAGCGAATGGAATTCATGTGACCACAGAATGCTGTGATGGTTATAATGGTCTGTTGTAACGTCATACAGTTAGTGCACAAGACATTCAGTAAATAAGGATTGCCTGTATCTTTAAACAGCTTTAAAAATGACCCATCCTGTAACAAGATTAGGTGTTGCAGATCACCAAGAATGGCAATCAGGTGAATCAATGGCATTCATCCCATCCATACAGTACTGCCTTCCATTGCTGTACTCAATCAGGCCTGAAAGCTCTTACATAACTTTGCACATTTCATGCAAAGTGATGTAAACAGTACTTACTGTTCTGTCCGAGCTCATAGTAAGTCGAACAAAGGTCTATTGAAACTAGAGCGGAAGCATTTAAATTTGCAGTTACTACCAGTTTTAAAAGCTGCCAAACTTCATCAAAGAGATTCTAGTAGGAAGTTTGATTTGGAATTTGCTACTGATGACATGTCATTATGTACAACTTGGGGGTGTATTGGCAGCATCTGGTTGGGCACATTCTGAAAATCCATTAATTATAGAATAAGAGTTAGAAGTTGCCATTTTAGGCTATCAGCTATCGACAGCACATCCCAGACGCCTGTCCAGCTTCAGTTTGAACATGTTCAATGAAAGGGAGCCAGCTCAGTTGATAATTAGTTCCACTGCTGAAATATTCTTATTGCTAAGGATGCTGGTCCTGATCTGCAGGGGTGACAAACTCACTGCATCACATGATGTGTCACGATGTATTGTGACTTTTTCCCTTTGCCGGAGCTGGGGTGGACGTGACTTTCGTGTGACCCATCCGGCCTGCGTATTGGCAGTTTGATACCCCTGGCCTACAGATTTGTCCACTAGAAATTATCCATCTTATTTAACCAGTTCACAATAAATATAAAAGCTATGAGTAGCGCAAAGAGCCATGGAAAGCTACATGCTCAGCATTACAAGACAAGATAGAAAGACCTGCACATGGATTAGAGAACAAACAAAAGTATACAATATCATCAAAAGAGTAAATGGGCTAGTCACACAGCAAGAAGAACTGATGGCAGGTGGATCAAGACAGTCATAGAATGGATCCCACTTGATAAAAACATCCGTTAAAGACCTAAAACAAGATGGATTGACAACATCAGCAAGTATTGTGGTCCCAATTGGCAAACAAAAGCTCAAGACCGATTGGTTGGAAACACGCGGAAGAGGCCTTCATCCTGCAGTGGATAGACAATGGCTAAAATGATGATTTAACTAATTCATCAAACAGTTCATCTGCATGGCTTATTCTTCGCCTTGGGCTTGTTGGGCGGCATACAAGTTTGATAAATACAGGTAGTTGTCAACCTACAACAGTTCATTTACTGACTATTTAGAATTATAACAGCACTGAAAAAAAGTGACTTATGACAGTTTTTCACATTTATGACCACTGCAGCATCCTCACAGTCACGTGATCAAAATTCAGACATTTGGCAACTCACTCATATTTATGAGTCACCAAGGTCGTGAGAATCGCCTTTTGTAACCTTCTGACAAGCAAAGTCAACGGGGAAGTCAGATTCATTTAACAACTGGGTTACTAACTTAGCTACTGCAGTGATTCACTTAACAACTGTGACAAGGAAGATCGTAATACAGGACAAAACTCACTTAAGAAGTGTTTTGCTTAACCACAGAACTTTTGGGTCCCATTGTGGTCGTAAGTTTTTTCCCTTCCTTCAAGCTGCAGGAAATCTCTCACGGCGATGCCGGCACAACTAAAATGACCCCACTTTTCCAGGCAAAGAGAGCGCAGCAGTCGGCGCCAAAATTAGCCACGCTTTTATTGAAAGAGGGACCGTCTCGAGGAACGCAGCGAAACTCGCATCCGACCCTGCAGACAAAGGGGAAGAGAAGGTATCAAGCGACTCGAGCGTCCCACCGTTCTATTTACCTTGCCAGTCCTCGCGTCATTTAAACAGCAACGCCTCCCGTCGACGTCACTTCCGCACGAGCAGCTGAGGGCAGGAGAGGAGGTGGAGGGGAAGATGGCGGCCTTGGGGGAGCCAGTGCGGCTGGAGCGAGGTGAGAAAGAGAGGCAGCGCAATGAGTGGTTCCGGGAGTGGGCCGGACGGGTGGGGAATTTGAAGTACCGACTAAAAGGCTGTGTATGTTGCTGTGTGTGTCTATGAAAGCGATTGGGGGTGGGGGGGCTCTTGAGCTCCACCGTGCTTGAGATCCTGAGCGTGAAGGAGGAGGGGTGGCTTTCCAGATGCTGATAGGAATTACAGCCCGTATCAGCTCTCTCACCCGCGTAGAGTGGGAGTTGTAATCCAACAATAGCCGAAGGGTCGTGAGGTTGGCACTCTCGATGAAAGCTTGCGTTGTAAAAGAGGATTCTCTTAACCTTCAAATATCCATCAATGATGGACCTAGGGGAGCTGCCTCATTTTATCTAAGGCCGTTTGGTATATAACGCGATTAACTTTAGTTGTGGCATTACAGTAACTCCTTTTGGGTGTTTATAGAATCTAATGAGCTTGAATCAAAGGAGATGGGTTCACACACCGTTGCAGGCCACACACCCACACCCACAATATTAAAAGAGTCAGATTGGACATGCTCTGGCTACACCCCTGGCCAACCTTGTTTCAATTCAGAACTTAAGCATGGGTTTGGTTTGGTCTGGTCTGGTCTGGTCCATATATTGAAGGGAAGCCTTCAAGAAGAACCAGGTTGTAGGCTAGGCTGAAAAATCAAAAATATTCAAATCTTGACAATAAACTGAGCTTAATCCATATAAAGTTCTTTTGGTAGATGGTTTATCAGCTAGATGAATATAATGTTCTAGAAACCCGTTCTAGTAAGGGTAAAGTAATTAGAAAGTATGGTTTGGAGGCACTTTTTGATCCATTCATAAAAAGCACAATTAACTCTTCAGCCAAGAAAAAAAATTGTTAACATGTAGGATCCTCATTTTGTAGTTAGCCAAATTCATATGCATATATTTGGAAAGTCAAATGAAGATCCTATTTCCTTCTATATTTTAAACATAGAGTGAATAAAATGTAGATGTATTCTTAATCCCAAATTATGTGTTTATAACTACTATATGTAAAATTTAAAGGTAATGCATTTGTTGTAAATAGTGTATTATAACATAATTTCTAAACATTTATCTGATGATAAAAGATTTTTTAAAATTATTTCTTTCAAGGAGGAAAAGAGTTGGAAACCAAAAATGAAATATCTCCAGTCATTTCTGAACTAACAATATGTATATGCATCCAAGTTGAACTAGAACATTTAATTTTACTTCAGTTAACATTTTTCCAATGTACATGGCTCACCAGTGAAATTCTGGGTGGCAAATTATATAAAATTACCCTTACATAAAATGTCAAATTTATTAAAAACTAAGAAAACAATTTAGATCAAGGCCCCTGTAAAAAAGTTGGTTCCCATGTATACATTCAAATGTAAGAGCGCCAATGTTTTAACATCCTGGCCCCAACGCCTGGGCATTATTAGACTTTGCTTTGCATTTTTCCATCCAGTAAAAGCAAACCATTAAGTGAACTGCCAAGTAAGGATTAAAGAACAATATTAGATTATTTTCCTTTCAGATTTCTTTAGAAAAGCTTTGAATTAGGAAGCTTGTCCAAATTCACAATTTAGATAGCATATCCTAATACAACTTTTTTAATGTTGGTACATTTCTGACTTTTTTCGAAGAAACTAAAAATAAATAGTCTTCCACCTTTTATCCTCATGGCAAAATATTTACAAAGTCAGATGTTCAAGACTAATTAGATCCAAATCTTATTCTAAACTTATCACTGAATGTACCTTTTAGTTCCAAAATATTTCAAAATATCACAAATATATAAATGAAGCGTCTTAAATTGAAACTGATATGAAGGTCTTACTGTTTTCTGTTTTGCCTCTTCTGCAAGCTTTATGATTACAACATCTATTTTCCTAGAGCAGGGGTCTCCAACCTCCGGTCTGTGGACCAGTTCTGGGCCATGGCATGCCAGCAACCGGTCTGCACAAACAGCAAAGCCCATCCAGGAGATGTAGGCAGCACACAAAACCACACACCCTCTGATCTGTGGAAAAACCTCTCTCCACAGAACCAGTCCCTGGTGCCCAAAAGGTTGGAAACCTCTGTCCTAGAGGATTAGAACTTCCAACAAATCACAGGCTGAAAATGGCTCTGCAAAAAGCAGAACTAACATCCATGGTGAAATGAAGGATCAGGAGGTAGACTTGAGATTACTCACGAGGGCTCCTCGCAAAGAGACTGCAACATAGTGGTCTCCTGGCAGCTTTAGAGCTCTGAAGGCAAGGGAATAACCATGTTGCTCAGATCACAGCATCTTTGAAAGGACACTGGGTTTGCATACTTTCTAATAATTTTCCACAATTGCTTGTTAACTGCTTTGAACCTATTAGGAACCTTTGGATCAATAAGTTTTACAGTGCTATAAGAGTTTTCTTCAACCCTTAGCAAAATAAGTTTCAAATACAAGTTTAAATTAGGAAGTTATAAATGGACCAAGGATTCAGATGGATTTGAAATAAGATTTTGGACTTAATTATAAAGAAACTTTCCCATGGAAAAATACTGTTGTTTTGACCAAAAATGCTCTTTCTAAAAGGCAACTGGACTTGCTTGTTTTTTTTTCCTTTGAAAATGTTTCACTTCTCATCCAAGAAACTTCTTCATTTCTTTTGAGAATCTCCAAAGAAGCTGTTGTTTTGAATTCTTTTATAAAAAATAAGATAAAGGCTTTAAAAATTGGACACTTTCTAGGCAACTAGAAAGAATTTAAAAAAAATACAATTAAAGTAAAAGAACACTTAAACTCAACTTTCAAATACAGAATGGAGCAAAATATTTTAACATTAGACATACTGATGCACATTTTTGAACAATGGACCCAAGAGATCATTTTAATAATTTTATAGATTGTGTTTTAAAAGAGGTTATGGAAGAGGAACAGATTTTACCTGACAAAATCGAGACTAAGCTAAGGAGAATAAGACAAGAAAAAACTGCTGATGATGTTACCTAGTTTGGTAACGAAACATTCAGAAATTATATTGAAACAACCTTGGAGAATAAACAACAGCCAAAATCGAAAACCCAAGCTACAAGTATTTTCTATTATTTTAAGATCAAGACTAATCTGAAAGTGGATTTAAAAATGACAAGCTTCAATAGCATGGAAATAGATGTTATGGTGGATATACAAAAGAAGCTGACTGATTTCTTAATAATTAAGAGGATATAAAATAACAAACTAACAGAGTGACCTGGATAACTTTCTTCTATTGGATTTAAAAAGGCTTGTAAACAGTTTGAAGAATTTTGTGAAAAGGCACCAAAAAAAAAAAAAAAAAGGAAACGTAAACTTCCCAATATAATCACAATCTGTCACTAAAGATTGACTATCTAAATAAAAACTTGCACATTTCCTTAACTTTCTTTTGTGCAAAATTCAAAGAAATCTATAAATAACCACTGTTCTTAATGTTATATGTAACCATTCTCAGAAGTTTTTAAGTGTGCCAGTTTTTAAGTCATAATTTTAATAGAAAAGCATTTGCAAGTGGTTAAGAAGCTTGGTTACTCTGATTATATCTTATGAAATGTTTATCAGTAGCTGTCAGTACATTTAGAGAACAAGGACTGTCACAGCTTTTGAGATTATAGAAGTCTTATAGTGGCTTATTGTAATTATATTTATTCTGGACAGCATTTTATCATTTGCTTTTCAGTCACTCAGGACAAATTAAACAAGAATATGATGCTTGGACTCAGCTGTTGGGCCTGCCCTGTGTCATGTGAACCCTCTATGTTTTGATTTCTAATCTTCCAAGACTGATGTGGAAAATATTGGTTTTGCTCAGCTGTTTTGATGGTTAGCAAAGTTAATGATTTCCATACCCAGTAATTAAACTTCTGGCAGTTGCTTGCAAAACATTTTATTCCAGGAAACAGAGAGCCTTATTATATTAAAATCCTTTTGCCACTTCAGTTTTTGCTAAAGATCTAAAGATCTTGAAATGTGAGACATGATAAACCCTGGCATATATTGTAGTATAGGTAGTCCTCAACGTACGACCACAGTTGAGCCCAAAATTTATGTTGCTAAGTGAAACATTTGTTGAGTGAGTTTTGCCCCATTTTTACGACCCTTCCTGCCAGTTGTTAAGTGAATCACTGCAGTTAAGTTAGCAACACAGTTGTTAAGTGAATCTGGCTTCCCCACTGAACTTTGCTTCTCAGAAGGTCGTAAAAGGTACATGATCCTGGGATACTGCAACTGTCATAAATACGAACCAGTTGCCGGGCATCCAAAGTTTGATCACATGACTCTGTGGATGCTGCAGGGTCATAAGTGTGGAAAACAGTGAAAAAAGTCACTTTTTTCAGTGTCATAATGGTCACTAAGTGAACTGTTGTAAGTTGAGAACTATAATTCTTTAAGGTATTAACTTAAATGTGAATTGAGTAACATGTATTTGGAGCTGCAATCATCCTGGTTTTTTTTTTAAAAAAAAAAAAACTGCGCAAAGAAGAATTATTTGGCTTAAAAATAAACCTGAAAAAGAGCCAGCTTGTGTTTAATAAATTCACCAAAGAAAGAAAAATATATATATCCGGAGAAGAACTAGATGTAGTAGACCACTACATATACCTAGGCCAATGGATCTCAATGGAAATTGCTACAATAAAGGAAATTGAATGGTGTGTTAAATGTGGTTGGCAGGTATTTGGCAAGCTAAGTGTAAATTTCAAGAACAACCTCCCCCTATGCCTGAAAAGTTTTTGATCAGTGTGGGCTGTGTGTTATAACATATACTGATGAAACATGGACACTAACCTCACAATCAATACAAAAGCTACGAGTGGCGCAAACAGCCATGAAAAGATACATGCTCAGCATTGCAAGACAAGAAAGAAAGACCCACACATGGATTAGAGAACAAATGAAAGTATTCGATATCATCAAGAGAGTAAAAGGACTGAAATGGAAACGGGCTGGTCACATAGCAAGAAGAACTGATGGCAGGTGGACCAAGGCAGCCATTGAATGGATCCCACTTGATAAAAGGCATCCACAAAAGAGACCCTAAAACAGGATGGATTGCCGGAGCTGGAGTGGACGTGGCTTCCGTCTGATCCAGCCAGCCAGCAGATCGGCAGTTTGACACCCCTGGCCTACAGATTTATCCACTAGAAATTATCCATCTTATTTAACCAGTTCACAATAAATATAAAAGCTATGAGTGGCGCAAAGAGCCATGGAAAGATACATGCTCACCATTACAAGACAAGATAGAAAGACCCGCACATGGATTAGCGAACAAACAAAAGTATACAATATCATCAAGAGAGTAAAAGAATTGAATTGGAAATGGGCTGGTCACACAGCAAGAAGAACTGATGGCAGGTGGACCAAGGCAGTCATAGAATGGATCCCACTTGATAAAAATATCCATTAAAGACCTAAAACAAGATGGATCGATGACATCAGCAAGTATTGCGGGCCCAATTGGCAAAAGAAAGCTCAAGACTGGAAACATGCGGAAGAGACCTTCATCCTGCAGTGGATAGACAATGGCTAAAATGATGATGATGATGATGATGATGATGATAGTCATTCTGGCTTGGATCATGAACTGAAATTGTACATTATTTTTTACTGAAGAAGGGAAAATATTTTTTGAGCAAGTACATTTACAAGTTATTTACTATAATTAGAATTAGAAAATGGTAGAAAGATTACTTATCCAATGTTGCTGAATTCCATTTCCTCAGTCTATAAAAATTTTAGTGGCCACTGTGGTCATTAATTTTAGTGGTTACTCTGTTTTAAATAAAATAAATGATCCCAGGGGCCTTTAGGAATTGCAAAAATGGTTTACCAACCAAAGGCAGGATATTACTTACCCATTCCTGCTCTAAAACAAAGCCTGTCATAATGAATAGAATCAAGGATTTATACAGAAACTATTAGGTAGTGTTTGACAATGATGAAATTCTGTCAGATATTTTACCATCAATATTCCTTTTTAATTTTGTTAATTATGTTGCAGCAAATATAGTGGGTACTATCTTTACCAGAGGCTTCTGATTTTAAGATAGCTCTATTATAGGAATTATCTTAATCCATGTAGAAAATACATTTTTTGTTCTCCCTATGCTTCAGTAAGATGTACATTACTTGTATCTATATTTTGTTTATCAGAGATCATTCACACTTTTTAAAACATGGGATATTTATTTAGAACAAATTCTCTTTCCAATTTGTATTCCTTAGAAAGACATTTTGCACACATTTTTCTGCATTATTTTGGATTTTTCTCCAAATGGAATATAAGCCACCAAGCCACATTATTTAAATTTGTGACTATTGGGCACAGCCAGGATAAAATTTATATTTGAGATGAAGTGGTGTGTTTTCCTTCATGACCATATTAAAAAAAATGAAATAAAATTTGAATGGCTGAAAGATCAGCCATGAAGAATTTCCAATAGTTTACCTCATCTTTCTTTTGCTGTTTTGAGAATAGATTGGATTTAAGAAATTCAAAAAAAAGTTACAGCTGTTTAAAGCAGTGGTTCTTAACCTGGGCGATATTGCCCCGCAGGGGGCGATTTCATTTTTCAAGGGGGCGATGGAACGAAAAGGGGCAACGTGGGGGCGAAGGAATGAAAAGGGGGCAATATGGGGATGATGGAGCGAGAAGTTTTGGGGACACCTTTGAGATTTTTTTGTACAGTGAATCGCTGTATATCTGTCATACCAAAACATCAGATGATCGCTATTAATGGATTGAATTGTGTTTTCAAATGTTCCTCCAGCTAGCTTCAGGACAGAACGCTGTACATATGTGAATACGCATCGCTTATCTTCATGCGTGTTGTGCAGCAGCCTCTACCCATACAATGGCGCGCCATTGGCCAGAATATTGGAGATATGGGGAAAAGACTGGAAATAAATTATTTGCATCGATATGTCTTGATGACAATTTTAAAGAAAACAAAAAAAAGTGTTTGCATAAATTGAAGAATTATTTCCTATGTTGTGATTGAGAAGTTATGTTAGGGGAGGGGGGTGATGACAACTTCCTCATTGGCTCAAGGGGGCGATTCGTTCAAAAAGGTTAAGAACCACTGGTTTAAAGTATAGATACGTTCAAACAAGCTGAAATATTTTACACAAAGATAGGATATCATCTTCAATTAAAGGAATATTGTGCATTTTTATGTTTGGAATGCAATCCTATCTTGAATGCTCAAATCAAGTAGAAGATTAATAAGAATGTTTGGATAGTATTATTGCATTATGGATCTGAATTTCAAAGAAATATATATTGAATGATTGTGATTATTTATCTTTATTATAAACACTCAACTCTTAATGGATATTGAGTAGTATACAAAAACAAAAAAATCCATAAAAACCCATAAAGCCTGTTAACTTGTTGCAGCTTTTTCAAAACTTAGTTATGAAAATAATGAACAGGGTAATATGATAGGGAGATCCCTTATGAGATATTATAGAAATTGTGAAAGTTGATAGATATATTCACATCATGGGGAGAAAAACCATTCAGAAAAATAGTTGGCTAGGCTTTGTTTAAAACTCATTAATTTGAAAATGGGAAATACAGAAGCTGCTTTGTAAAGGGAAGATTTGAATATAATTGAAATGGTTTGTTGCTAAATAGCATATTTTTGGCAGCCATGTCAAGACATCAAAAATGTTACTTGTGTAAAATTCAGTAGCTCACATCGTTTTGTTATATCTTTCTCCAGATATTTGCCGAGCTATTGAGTTGCTGGAAAAGTTGCAAAGGAGTGGCGAGGTACCCCCTCAAAAATTGCAGGCTTTACAAAGGGTCCTTCAAAGTGAATTTTGTAATGCAGTAAGGGAGGTAAGTTTATTTTTGAAATGCATATACTGGTAGTCCTTGACCTTTGACCCTAAGGGAGCCTGCCCATTACGTTTGCAAGTGGTGACAATTGGTTGCAATGTGTGGGTCATGGGTGGGGGAGGCCCTGGGAGCCTTCCATCTAGCTGGGTCCATAAAGCATTGCAAGCAAAAAAACTGGCTAGTGGGGGAAAGAGCTCAGCTAGGGACGAGTGCTGCATTCCAGCCGCTGTGCATGGCCGGTTTGTGGGCTGGGCCTCTGCCACAATCAGCTGCCCATTGGGAGACTACAAAACTGTCCTGGGTTTTACTAGCCTTTGGGAAGCCAGCAACTCCAGGACCAACTCTAAAACCTTTCCTTTGCTTATCCCATTCCCTCCACCAGAAACTTACATTTCTTCAATAAAAAGTTGGGAGGGACAGACTTGTTTATTCCCTCCCCACAAAAAAATTAGTTGCTGAAATTAAAATCTCCACCTCTTCCCTCCAGTCACTATCCTTTAAAAAAAAAATCTCATTTGCTAAATGTATTTTATTTAAGGAAGTGAGATAGCAAAAAGCTTTCCAAGCTTTGGAAAGCTTTTTGCTGTCTGTCTGTTTGCTGTCTGTCTGATTCCCTTTAGTTTCTGCCATGGCCATTTGCTACACGTTTGTGCTTGTGATACTTTTGCTTTAGGGCTGAACTTTTTCTTCAGCTCCTCCACACATGATACAGAAAGATTTTTTTTTTTTTTTTTTTTTGCTTGCTTGCTTCCTTTCCTCTATTCTTCAGCCTGGAATGAAGATAAGTAGCTTACAGATTTTGTCACCATCTTTCCAGGCATGCAGTAAATTTAGCAAAGGAGCTTTTAAATGGGATATAGATTGGAGGGCCTGAAGCTGTTGCCCTTGAATTCAGGCAGCTGGCTTCCCAAAGGCTAACAAAGAGTCAGAAGAAGTTTGCGGTCTCCTGATATCCAGCTGGTCAGAGCTGAAAAATATGAAAGCAGCCATTTCCACAAGGAATTGTTGGATCACTGAAAATGGTAGCTGCTTCCAGGAGCCATGGGGTGCAAGCCCAAGGGGTTTGCGGGGTTCCATCAGTGTGAGAGGGGGGGGAGGCAGAGGGGGGATTGCAGCGTTCCATGGTCGGCTGTAACAGTGAATGATCATAGGGGTGCTGCAGCCATTGTAATTTTAAAACAAGATCATATGTAGTTTTGGTGGGATCTAGATTTTGATTGATCGTTAAGTGACCTGTCGTATCTCAAGGATTACCTATATTAGATGGCAAAATACAAATTCCCCACTTAAAATGTTATGAGCAGGATGTATATCTGCTAGAAGCAAAGAGCTAGAACACCTAATGTCAGGATTCATTTGGATTTTTAAAATAATATAATTTCACAGTCTGCATATATTCTTAATGATCCCTATCTAGTTAAAACATGTTAATACTTTTATTTATTTTTATTTTATTTATTTATTTTCTAAAGGTATATGAACATGTGTATGAGACTGTGGACATAAGCAGTAGCCCAGAAGTGAGAGCTAATGCTACAGCAAAGGTAAGAGACCTACTAATTGTGCCAACAAATGAAAAAAAGTATTTAGAAGTGGACTCTTTTTAGCAAGTCCTAATTAAGTTATTAAACTATGAATATATCCCAGTGAATAATAGTTTCAGTATATGGGTGCTGCTGCCCTTGTCATGGACAGATCATTTCCTATTGAGGCTGGACTTCAGAGCACCACTCCCCCATCGCAGGGAGAGGGAGCCGACTAGGTGGTTCCGCCCCAGGCGCCTAATGGACCCAGATCGGTTCCAGAAGGAGCTTGGGGAAATACCTGACTCCCTTGTCCACAACTCGTCCAGGTCCCTGGTTGCGGCCTGGAATGAGGCGGCGTCCGGGGCCCTGGATTGAATTGCGCCTTTGCGACTTCTCTGTGGTGGTGGTCCCCGGAGGGAGCCTTGGTTTACTGAGGAGCTCCGGGAGATGAAGCGCCACAAGAGACGTCTAGAGCGACGTTGGAGGGCCAGTAACTCTGAATCTGACCGATCACTATTAAGAGCCTATCTTAGGACTTATTTAGTGGCGATAAGGGCGGCAAAGCGTGTTCACTTTTCCGCACTTATTGCGTCCGCAGAATCTCGCCCGGCCGCCTTGTTTAGGGTGACCCGCTCCCTTCTTAAAGTGGAGGAGGCGGAGGAACCCTTGCAGGGGAGAGCTGAGGAGTTTGTTTAGTTTCTTTCAGACAAAATCACTCAGATTCAGAGAGACCTGGACTCCGACTGGGCAGTGCCAGCCGAGTTGCCAGGGGCTGGTCTTAGTCATGTTATCTGGAGCGAGTTTGAGCCTGTGACCCCTGATGAAGTGGACAAGGCCGTGAGGGCAATGAATGCCGCCACCTGTTTATTGGACCCGTGCCCCTCCTGGCTGGTTTCTGCCAGTAGGGAGGTGACACGAGGCTGGCTCCAGGCGATAATCAATGCTTCCTTGATGGAGGGGTCTTTCCCACAACCTTTAAAGGAAGCCTTCCCTGGACCCAGCTGTTTTGAAGAACTTTCGTCCCGTCTCCAACCTCCCCTTTGTGGGGAAGGTTGTAGAGAATGTGGTGGCGTCTCAACTCTTGCAATCCTTGGATGAAACCAATTATCTGGACCCTTTTCAATCTGGTTTCAGGCCCGGTTACAGCACTGCTTTGGTCGCACTGACCGATGACCCCTGGCGAGCCCGGGATAGGGGTTATTCCTCTATCCTGGTGCTTCTTGACCTCTCAGCGGCTTTCGATACCATCGACCGTGGTATCCTTCTGCGTCGTCTCGGAGAGATGGGGGTGGGCGGCACCGTATTGCGGTGGTTCTCCTACCTCTCTGACAGGTCGCAGTCGGTGTTGGCGGGCGGACAGAGATCGACCCCTAGGCGCCTCGATCATGGGGTGCCTCAGGGCTCGGTCCTGTCCCCCCTCCTTTTTAACATCTACATGAAACCGCTGGGTGAGATCATTCGGCGACACGGGGTGAGGTATCATCAGTACGCGGATGATACCCAATTATATATCTCCACCCCGTGTCCTTTCAGTGAAGCAGTCGACGTGATGTGCCGGTGCCTGGAAGATGTGAGGGTCTGGATGGGGGTGAACAGGCTTAGACTCAACCCTGACAAGACCGAGTGGCTCTGGGTCTTGCCTCCCAAAGGCCAACTGGATGGTCCATCTTTAGTCCTGGGGGGGGCAAATTTACCTCCCTCAGTGCAGGCACGCAACTTGGGTGTCCTCCTGGACTCACAGCTAAATCTGGAACAACATCTATCGGCTGTGGCCAGGGGGACCTTTGCACAGGTTCGCCTAGTGCACCAGTTGCGACCTTATATGGATCGGGAGGCTTTACTCACAGTCACTCATGCCCTTGTCACCTCAAGACTGGATTACTGTAACGCGCTCTACATGGGGCTACCCTTGAAGGGCGTTCGGAGGCTGCAGTTGGTTCAGAACGCAGCTGCGAGAGCGATTGTGGGCGCGCCAAGGTACGCCCACGTGTCACCTATCCTCCGCGAGCTGCACTGGCTTCCTGTGGGTCTCCGGACGCAATTCAAGGTGTTGGTTATCACCTTCAAAGCCCTTCATGGCATAGGGCCAGGTTACTTACAGGACCGCATTCTGCCGCACAGCTCCCAGAGACCGGTGAGGTCCCATAGATTGGGCCTCCTTCAGGTCCCGTCGGCCAGACAATGTCGGCTGGCGGGCCCTCGGGGAAGGGCCTTTTCTGTGGTGGCTCCGACCTGGTGGAATCAACTTCCCCCCGAGGTTCGAACTACTCCCACCCTGCCGGCCTTTAAGAAAGCCGTTAAAACTTTCCTGTTCCGGCAGGCCTGGGGCTGATGTCCCCGGGGGGCCGGGATATGATCGGACTCGCGGTATGACTGTATTATTTTATTGTTTTATGATTGTTTTAACTTTGTACGCCGCCCTGAGTCCTTTGGGATTGGGCGGCATATAAATATTTGAAAATAAATAAATAAATATTGAACTGTCCTTTTTAAATTTTCCCCAAATAATGAACTGTAATAGTTAATATTTACTAATCCATTTACATAAAGGTGTTACATGCCTGATACTTTCTAATTCACATTCCTGCTGGATTGGTTCTTTTTGTGCGTATCACACAGACATATATAGTAGGATAGTGTTGAATGCAGGTAGTCCTTATTTAATGATCACAATTGAGATCTGCAAGGCATTGCTAAGCAAAGCGGTCGCTAAGTGGGAAATCACATATCTGTAACTGTGCTTTCTGGCTCCAAACTTCCAAGACTAATCAGTTTCATATCTTTTTGATATCCTTTTGAATACTCACCCTGGTACTGGGATAATATACAGGAAGGAAATTAACATTTGTATTGACATTCATTGGGAAGGAAGAGATTACAAGAAAGTATATAGGCATATAGTGGGGATTACATATTGAAAGCAAGATGTTGGGGCTGGTGGCTGCATGTGTGTGCTACACAAACAGCCTTAGGTAGTCCCCATTGTGTGTTTCTTTACTCTTGTAATCAGTTCATCTCCAATCTCTTCGCTCTGCGAGGGAAGAGAAAAAAAAAACCAGGAATACAATGGGAATATATTGGGCTGTTACAGTATGCTTTCAGCTGCTGGCACCAGCACATTGTTTTCCATATGTGTTCCCCATTGTGTACCTGCTTACTGTCTTGTAATCCCTTCATCTTCAATTTCTTTTTGTGCAAGGGGAAAAAAAACACAATAGGTCAGTTGCAGGACATCGTGTACTGGCTGTAATAGTAATTACATGATTGAGGGATGCTGGGAAGGTTATAAATGTAGGCATTAGTCATAAAATTATTTTTTTCAGCACTTGGTAACTTCAAAGTGGTCAGTGAGCAGTCAGTAAGTGACGACTACCTGTAGCAGAATCTGATCTTTCTATCCTAAAGGGCAGAGTAGAATGAAAGATACAGTCTGGCTCTGGAACATTTGTTATTAATCCACTTGTGCCTGTTTCTTATTAAACATCTTGTACTTTGTTCCAAAATAAGTTAAAGTATATCACATTGTATTTGTTATAAAGAATGTGCTTGTGTAATAAACTATAGCACTTCAAAAAGTGCAAGTAGACCAAGGGTTCTCATTCATGTATTTATTATTTATTTATTAAACTTATATACCATCCATCTTGTCTAGAGATGACTTTAGGTGGCTTACAGGCAAAAACACAACAACACCCCAAGATAAAACATTAAAACAATGTTTAAAACATTAAAGTAATATTAACATTAAAAGTGACTTAAAAATTAAGATAGCAAGGGAGGGAACAAAATGCATAATGGGGAGGAGGTGGGATTATGAAACATCTTCACTGCATGCTTTTTAACAAAATATAGTAAATGAATTATTTGACACTTTGTGTGAATATGTTTAACTGATTTGTACTTTCCTCAGAATGCAGTCCATTCATGCATTTTGACCAATTCCAGTTTCAAGAAACATTGAAATGATGCTAGAATGAATACATCCAATGAACTGGAGGATAAACTGGAGGTTTCTGGATTTTATAGGCTACTGTTGCTGCTTTTGCCGCCAGTGAAGGTCATTCACATCCCAGAGTCGTCGAACTTCCCAAAACAGACGAAGGGCTTGGATTCAACATCATGGGTGGCAAGGAGCAAAATTCTCCAATCTATATATCCCGAATTATCCCAGGTGGTATTGCTGATAGACACGGGGGATTGAAGCGTGGAGACCAACTTCTTTCTGTAAACGGAGTGGTAGGGATGGAATTCAATTTCCACTTGTAGTAGCTAAGTGTGACCGCTTGAGGGCATTAAGAGGATATGAACTATTTGACGGTGGTTGTAGTTTGCAATTGAAATGCTCAGGGGGAAATATAACTGTATTTGAGAAATTTTATAAATTTGTTAGTTCAAAATGGACATTTTATGAAGTAACATTTAAACTTAAAAATAAGACATTTGACTATGTACTTTAAAAAAATAACTATGGTTTTATTAGAATAACATTAAGAAATCCACCATTATTCTTAAAATGAAGGAGCTGAAATGTTTGACTTCTTTATTCTAGCAATATTGGGTTTTATCATTAAGATCCGGTATTTTCTTTTAATCTAATTTACCTCCCAGAATGTCCTTTTAGATAAAATTGAGTCAGGCATGCTTTAAAAGTTCAGTCTTTAATTACAAATTTGATTGTCATCTAGATTTATGTACAAGGTAAACAAGTGTGCTAATTGCAAGTTATCCATATGCTTTTATATTTCCCAATTCATTTATTGATGCTATATATCAAAATGTCAGAATATTGATACAACGTGTATGTAGTAATATTTAAATATTATAGTTATATATAGGACTTTAATTTTTATTACATAAACAAAAAAGAACTAAATCAGTGAAAAAAACTGATTTTACTATCCCTAATTAAAAAGGTTTAGCTGTTCTCTGCACAATTAAATCAGATTGCTGTTGTACATTATTGTTATCTACAGTCAGGTCCAGAAATATTGGGACATTGACACAATTCAAACATCTTTGGCTCTATACACCACCACAATGGAGTTGGAATGAAACAAACAGAATGTGCTTTAACTGCAGACTGTCAGCTTTAATTTGAGGGTATGTACATCCGACTCAGGTGAACGGGGTAGGACTTACAGCAGTTTGCATATGTGCCTCCCACTTGTTAAGGGACCAAAGGTAATGGGACAGAATAATAATCATAAATCAACTTTCCCTTCTTAATACTTGGTTGCAAATCCTTTGCAGTCAATCACAACCTGAAGTCTGGAATGCATAGACATCACCAGACGCTGGGTTTCATCCCTGGTGATGCTCTGCCAGGCCTCTACTGCAACTGTCTTCAGTTCCTGCTTGTTCTTGGGGCATTTTCCCTTCAGTTTTGTCTTCAGCAAGTGAAATGCATGCTCAATGGGATTCAGGTCAGGTGATTGACTTGGCCATTGCATAACATTCCACTTCTGTCCCTTCACAAACTCTTTGGTTGCTTTTGCAGTATGCTTTGGGTCATTGTCCATCTGCACTGTGAAGCGCCGTCCAATGAGTTCTGCAGCATTTGGCTGAATGTGAGCAGATAATATTGCCCGAAACACTTCAGAATTCATCCTGCTGCTTTTGTCAGCAGTCACATCATCAATAAATACAAGAGAACCAGTTCCATACATGGCCACGCCATGACACTACCACCACCATGCTTCACTGATGAGGTGGTATGCTTAAGATCATGAGCAGTTCCTTTCCTTCTCCATACTCTTCTCTTCCCATCACTCTGGTACAAGTTGATCTTGGTCTCATCTGTCCATAGGATCTTGTTCCAGAACTGTGAAGGCTTTGTTAGATGTTGTTTGGCAAACTCTAATCTGGCCTTCCTGTTTTTGAGGCTCACCAATGGTTTACATCTTGTGGTGAACCCTCTGTATTCACTCTGGTGAAGTCTTCTCTTGATTGTTGACTTTGACACACATACACCTACCTCCTGGAGAGTGTTCTTGATCTGGCCAACTGTTGTGAAGGGTGTTTTCTTCACCAGGGAAAGAATTCTTTGGTCATCCACCACAGTTGTTTTCCGTGGTCTCCCGGGTTTTTTGGTGTTGCTGAGCTCACCGGTGCGTTCCTTTATGAGGATGTTCCAAACAGCTGTTTTGGCCACGCCTAATGTTCTTGCTACCTCTCTGATGGGTTTGTTTTGTTTCTTCAGCCTAATGATGGCGTGCTTCACTGATAGTGACAGCTCTTTGGATCTCATCTTGAGAGTTGACAACAACAGATTCCAAATGCAAATAGCACACTTGAAATGAACTCTGGGCCTTTTATCTACACATTGTAATTGGGGTAATGAGGGAATATCACACACCTGGCCATGGAACAGCTGAGAAGCCAGTTGTCCCATTACCTTTGGTCCCTTAACAAGTGGGAGGCACATATGCAAACTGCTGTAAGTCCTACCCATTCACCTGAGTTGGATGTACATACCTCAAATTAAAGCTGACAGTCTGCAGTTAAAGCACATTGTGTTTGTTTCATTCCAGCTCCATTTGGTGGTGTATAGAGCCAAAGATGTTTGAATTGTGTCGATGTCCCAATATTTCTGGACTTGACTGTATATATCAATTGATCCATTTTAGCTAATCAAACCAGACCTTCATATTGATACTCAGTTGATTAGAATGTTTTTTCAGATGCTTACAATCTCTGCTGCCTTTTCTGTTTTGGTTCCATTTATAATTTGACTTTAACAGACAAGCTGCTTCTATAATGATGAAGCAGTGAAGTTACGAAATATTGTGGGGAAGTAGATTAACCATCTTTAGGATTGTAAAGAATCATCTTGCATTTAATTAGTTTATATTGTACATAGTGCATCAAAAGTTAGGTATCTCTGGTCAAATTTTAAGTTTTCAAAGAACAAAAGTTGACAACCTTCTGCATAGTATAAGCATGGCATGATTTAGAAGTGGATGTATATGTAACAATTTATGTGCAAGGGTATACAGATTTAAAATATGGAATGTGTGAATATAGCAGGTGTAGAACTCTGGACACCCTTTTAATCAATACTTTGTAACCTCTCCTTTTGCAAAAGTAATAACTTTCAAATATTTAAAGTAGCCAGCTATGAGAATCTTTCTATATTTGCTTTTGGATTTTCTTTTTCACCCTTCCTTGCAGGACTCAGAATATCAACTTCATATCTGATTTGGAGATATTTTTTTACATTGTTGTCTTGCTAAAATTGAAAAGTTTCACTTATGTGAGGAGATGCTACTAGAATATATTTACTTAAATTTACTTAACTATATTTACTTAAACAAATTTATATAGCTGATCATCTCATACACATGACTGTAGGCTGCTAACAAAACAAAATTTAAAAAATAATATCTGCAATTAAAAACATAAATAACATAAATAGCAACCAATAATAATGCAATGCCTCACAATCAATATAACCAAAAACTATCAGGGTCTTAAACTGGATGGAAAATCAGGTTTCTAATGCCTAGTGAAAGGTCAGTAGAATTGGGTTGTTTATGTAATTAAATCTATTCTTTTATTGGCACAATATTGTCTAGCTAATAGAAGAAAATATTATCTATGTCACTGGCTGCCACACAGCCTCTAAAGCAGAATAGAACTCCTTCTGGGTTTGATGATTGGCAAGAATGATCTCTATTTTCAATTATCCAAAAAGATTTGGGAGGGATTTGGGTTATATACTGTAAAAAATTTCTAAAACTTTTAATAAATACAGAGCCGAGGTGGCGCAGCAGTTAGAGTGCAGTACTGCAGGCCACTTTAGCTGACTGTGTTCAGCAGGTCAGCGGTTCAAATCTCACCGGCTCAAGGTTGACTCAGCCTTCCATCCTTCTGAGGTAGGTAAAATGAGGACCCAGATTGTTGGGGGCAATGTAAATATATATATACATTGCTTACTGGTGTACACCGCTTAGGGAGTGCTTGCACTTAAAGTGGTATATAAGTCTCATAAATAAATAAATAAATAAAAAGATGTTTAGAAGCATATGTGGTCTTGAAAGCAGACAGGAGAATCCCATTCTAAAAGGTTAAAAGTATATTTGCTTATCTGTAGAATTGTCGTTACCTGGTTGTTACAGGCAAAGATTGAATCAATCAATTATCAGATATTAACAATTTTCTCTTTAAAAAAAGTATAACTGAAACTGGGTTTTCAAACTTCTATACCTGCTATATTATTATTTTCTTAATTTTCTTTTGTATTTCTTATTTTTTTGTATGCAACTGTAGAAAGCTTATTTATGAAAAATGATTGTCTCTCACTATATTATCTGTTTCTAAATCCAAAATTCAGCTTTTTTACTTATAAAAATTTTGCTTCACATATATTTTAGTTTGAATTTTTATAAAATTTACTTTTCTGATTCCACCTGTAAATTAACACTAGGTTTTGAGTTATTTATTTTTCTGTGATACATCAGTAGTTAAGAATGAGAATATTAATTGTTTCATAATTACAATTTATAACTTTCATTTTCAATTACAATATGTGTACTTGAATAGAATTTGAAAATGACACATTGGGTAGAAAGATAGGCACATACCTGTCTTTTAAAGGAAATAGCAATAGTGTGCGTCTAAGGAAATGAACGCAATCACACGGGCTGTGATGATGATGAAAAAACATTGTGTGGGCTACTTAATAACATCAGGACCAGGGTTTGAGAAACACTGTTTTAATTTGGAATGGTTTGGAGTAGACAATGTATGATAAAGGAAACATAAATCTTATAAATAACGGTCTTGAATTTTAGAATACTTGTTGAATACATACTAATGAAATATATAACATATATATGTATTTTTTTTTTCAGAGTGTTGAAGGGGAGCACCATGAAAAAGCTGTAGAATTGCTCAAAGCAGCTCAAGGAAAAGTTAAGTTGGTTGTACGCTATACACCCAAAGTCCTGGAAGAGATGGAATCACGATTTGAAAAAATGAGATCAGCAAAACGCAGGCAACAGAATTAATGCTGAATTATATCCAGTATTATAGGAATACTGACAGCCTACAGTAGATTTTTTTCTGGCTCTTCTGCACATCTACTTTATAGGGTGTTACAAAATTCATATTTGGAAATGGGGCAAGGATTTTGCTTCTTCTTCAGATGGATATTATCTAACAGACTCAGATGGATGCAACTCTGCATATAATTCAAGGAAAAGTATGATATTTGTTCTATTCATGGAAACATTTTTAGTTAAATATGTTCATTTCATTAATATGTTGGTCTTTTACAAATCCTTTGAATATTCTAATGTTTTCAAAAGAAAAGTTTACATAAACATTTATAACTATGTGATTTTACAAATACTTCTTTAAAATTCAAACCTGTACTTATAAAAACAAATTTGTAAATTAATTAAGCTAGTTTCAGCATTTGTATCATTGTTTTTCTAGTAATTTTTTTATTTGGCTTTATTTAAAAGATAAAATCTTTATTTTGAGTAAAAGATATAATACAGATCTTGGCACGAAAATGTGTCATCTTCATGCAAAAAGTCATAATTGTATGGTTAAGTACAATTTGTATTTTTGATGAACAAGTTTTTATGCATGTTCTTGGTCATAATTTTATATTGTTATTGACAATTTTGACACCTAATCTTGTTTTATGAATATTTTGCAACAGGTGATCTCTTATTTAAAACTTCAGTGCTTAACATCCTAAAATCTAGCAGTAAGCATTCCAATAATTTATACCTTTGTATTGATTTCTAAAGATTTAACAAAATTGCAGAGCTTTGTACTTCTGTTGAGGAGGGTTATATTTACGTGCAGTGCAGAAAAATAATTTTTCTCTTGTAATTCAGTTATCTAAATATAGTTTACCAGTGCTATTCTTGGAGGATAAAACAGTTTGTGCTTCTGATAATTATGATAACTATATATTATCATCACTGTTGGATGTACCTTACCTCTAAGTGCTAGAGAACATGATCTTTGGCTAGGGAGCACAACCAGGAAAATGATACTGTACTGATGTCCTGTTGTAGACTTTCCATAATTATCAAGATGGTCAGTGTGGGAAGGAATGCTGAATTTTCTCGATTCTATCAGGGTAGTTTTTCACTGAAAAAAATGTTGAAGATCCACTTCAGGAATGATTCTGAATTATTTTCTAATGTTTTCTACAACATACAAAGTTCAATCATTATGCTCTTTGCTGATTCCAGAGTGCAGCTAAAAAAACCTAAGAAATGATATGATTTTTTTTAAAAAAGTGTTAACATTGAAAGATACTCCCCTGTAGGAAAAGATAACACTTAAAGATTGTGTAAAACTGTTGGTGTGATTCTAGACTAAATAATACTGATCTGACGGGTTTTTTTTCCCCTCTAGGTAACTTTTCTGCTTTCACAGCCTTTAGTAGAAACGTTTTTCTGTGGTCTGTCTTAAAACAGGCCTAGTACCAGTAGTGTACAAAAAAGCTATTAATGACTACTGAACTATTATGAAGAAAATGGTGGCCGGGACTAGTCTAAGCAGTCCTATCTCTTCCTGTCATAATAAGCAATGCTCTGTTTCAAAACAGCAAGAGGCTAAAATTCTTAAAGCTGTCTCTGTCTTAAAGCATGCACTGCCTAGCACAGGGGTGTCAAACTTGCAACGTCATGTGACTTGTCGTGACGTATCGCAACTTTTTTTCCATTGCCGGCAATGGGATGGGCGTGGTTTTGGCATAATGCATCCAGCCCATGGCCTGGCAGTTTGACAACCCTGGCCTAGCATGATAAAGTGTCTTTAGCAGCTAGAGTTACAGTATGCGGTTAGACCCCTAGGTTACCTGTGGGACTTTCAAATGAATGGAAACCTCATTTGTCTTTGGTCATTGTTAAGCTGCAGTTCTTACCAGTTCCAGTCACTGGCAGTGCTGTGTCACGTGGGGAGGGGTGTAAATCCAGTGGTTTAGATATTTGGTTCTGCATCTCTACTTTAAAATATCAGTTATCAAAGAGCCTTAACATTCTCACAAAATTGGCACATTGAGTTTGGCCATTGACTCTGCTCCCTGGAAAATGAAGACCATTGGATACAATAAATTGGATCTTAGCTGGTTTTCTATTTTATTTTTCTCCATTGCCTTTTGATATTTTTAAATAAATCATGAAGCCACTATCTTAAGCATGAGGGAGGCAGAGAATATTCTTCTGTTTTCCTCATAACCTCTACCTTAAAGTTTTGGTTATGAGGTAGAGATGTGATCTTTGTTCTTTCCCTCACCATTTTGTCATCTCTCTTCAGCTTTATTCCTTGACTGAGATAAAATTGTTAATCTTCCCACCTAAAAGAAGATTTTAAGTTTGCACCTTAAGAATCCTTGATATCTATGTAACATTTGCCTGAGTGTCTGCTGGATGTTATAGTCCAGGCATGTCAAACTTGCGACATCACATGATGTCGCGCAATATATCAGGCCGGTTTTGCCATTGCCGGCAATGGGGTGGGCGTGGCTTCCATATGACGCACCCGGCCAGTAGGCCGGCAGTTTGACACCCCTGTTATAGTCCAAGGGAATAATTGTCTGATAATATCTTCTGAATGACTAGAACATTGGTAAAATATGAAAGGTCATAGGAATAGTCTTTTCTTTCTATGTCAACATAATCTTGTTTAATAAGGTGATCCTATAAAAAAATTAGTAGAGATTGGTACAAGTAATTGTAAATGCTTTCTTGGCATTTAGCAATTATGTGTTTGGAATAATAGAGTAGAGGTTACTGAAATATGATTTTTCAATTTGGTAAGACAGCATTGAATTGCAGCTGGCAGCAGGAAACAGTCTGTAGAACCATGAGGCTTAATTGTATATTTTTATGAAGCAATATTAAGTAAGACCAAGCGAAATAGTTGGGGCCAGTCAGGAAATAATTTAATTTTATACAACTAGATTTATGTTGGAGTTTACTATATTCAAGAGAAGGATAGAATGAGATAAAGGCTATTATAAAATGTATTCATGTGTTGAACACAGCAGTGTGCTTTATTACTCTAAATAAATAGTTTGGAGTAGCCAGGACTGCTATAAAGTTTTATAATATTACACAAACTTACTTGGAAGTAGCATTCAACGAACATAAGATTGCAATCCGAAAATTAGTTCTTAAGTCAGTGTTCTTTTTTTCTTTTTGGGTTTTGTGGGCTTGTCCTTAAAAAAACCATGTGAGATTAAATCATGATTGTAGAAAAGAATAGACAATGACAAAAATCTCTTGTCTTATGAATTATTAACAGCAAGGAGCAAGTAAAAAGGAGTACTACAGGGCAGGACAAAATCATATTCTTTAAAATTAAACTGAAACTGAAAGATTCACCCAAATCTATCTTAATTGCTGTAATCCATAATATTTCATAAGTGGGACCCCGTGGCAAGATTGAACTGTCATTTTTAAATTCAGATTAAATTTACACAATCAAGAATCAAGAAATTAATGTCACTGAACACATGCATTGACTACACTGTATTGACATATGTGCACACGCAATAATTTAACCAGCAAAAACTAAACACTCTGTATAGTCATTATGTATTTATTGCTGTTGTCCACAGCCCTGTTTTTTAGGAACTTGAAAATAAAAATTTGAAATTTCGTATTTGTTATATCAACTTGTTTTATTATCAGAAATAAAAAATATTCTTCCCGCCACACATTTGCTCTGGGTATAAAATACTATAAATGTTATAGGTATTACAGTTATCAAATGTACATTTATAACTCTACCATTATAAAACACTGGGATTACATTTACATTAGCTTGGATTCAAAATCTTTGTATAGTTATAAGTATATCATTTTTCTGAGCTTGATTATAGATACTTGAGCAGCTTAGAAGAAAGCCACTGGTGTCAAACTACAGCTGCTTTCTTCTGACTTAATACGGCATTCCTGTACTGATAATGGTGGGATTAGTATAGACATTTTAATTTCATGCTTATTGTACTTCAGAGTGACAAAATACCCAATCTTTTATGTTTTATTTCTGAAGTATTGAAAGCATGGCACAAGGTTTGAGTGTCTTAAGTCTTTTTAACAGCATCAGTTTGAGGGAACTTCTTCCTCTACAAAGGATGATCAATAGAATTGGGGGGGGGAATGGAATTGTATAAATTAACAGTGACCTACCAATGCTATTTTCTCAGTGTTGTGCTGGCAGGGTTCATTGAGCTCATATATGCCAAGCTGTGGTTTGTTTGCTTGTTTGGCAACTGGCTGGATATTGGCAAACTAAAAGCAAGCAATGTTTTGGCCTAGTACAACCTTTGTGTTAACAATTTCCTGCCTCCCTCAACTATGCATAGATTAGGACAGAAATGTGGTAAGGAGACCTGCATCTTTAAATAAGGTTTTTCCCTTTCATGTAATTTGTAAGGGGCCATACAGATTGCCACTTATGAGGCAAAGGGGCCCATCTGGTTAATTTTTGTAGTGTTTTAAGAACTTGAGAAACTGCTTCAATCAGTATGATTCGGAGTTAAACATTGCTTGCCTTTTCTCTGGGAGTCTCTGTCCAGAGTTTTCAACTTCTCTGCTGGTGATATAATTGAATTCAACTTCTTTTACATTCCATTACTCCAGACCAGGGGTCTTCAAACTTGGGCCTTTTATGACTTGTGGACTTCAATTCCCAGAATTCCTCAGCCAGGAATGCCTGAGGAATTCTGGGAATTGAAGTCCACAAGTCATAAAAGGCCCAAGTTTGAAGACCTCTGCTCCAGGCTATGCGTGGACTTTTTTAAAAAAAGAACGGGAGCTAAAGTTGCTCACCTGCTAATTGTTATAGAAAGCAGAGGTAGCAGACTTGTTTGAAACAAAGGTATGCTTCATATGCATACAGATAGTCCTCCACTTAAAACCTTTCATTTAGTGACTGTTCAAGGTTACAACGGCACTGAAAAAAGTGACTTATGACCATTTTTCACACAACCGTTGCAACATCGCCATGATCATGTGATCAAAAGTTGCAAATGGCTCATATTTATGACAGTTGTAGAATCTCAGGATCATGTGATCACCTTTTGTGACCTGACAAAAGAGTAAGAAAGTTAGATTCATTTAACAACCATGTTACTAACTTAACTGCAGCGATTCACTTAACAACAGTGGCAAGAAAAGTAATAAAATGGGGCAAAACTCACTTATCAACTGTCTCGCTTAGCAACAGAAATTTTGGACTCAGTTGTCATAGATTGAGGACTACGTGTGTATCCTCAAACCTTTATTTCAAACGAGCCTGCCACTTTACTTTTCTTTAGCAATTATAAGTGAGCAATTTTAGCTCCTATTAAGCAGGTGAGCAATTTTAGCTATTATTTTTAAAAACTTTATATATTTATATGAAAAAGGGGGTACGGTGATTTTCTGAGAAAAGAGAACAATTACGAATAAAAGCTACAACAAAGAACTATTTAAGAAACAAGCAGGTGCTTTTACTTATCTAATCATAGTACACTTTCACCTTGGATATGGAGACTGCAAGTCTGAGGCCTGTAATAAATCACTTATTTCCTTTCCTGCCCTAAGTCATGAATAAAACATGCAGCCAATGGTTAATAGAGCTGAAAGTGTTTGAATAGCTTCTGAAAAAATCAGTAAAACAAATCTGCATGTCTGTCCCCCCTTATTCTTAATGTGATACTTGAAAGAAACCAGAATCCTGCTTGTCATCTATTCTCTGCATTTTTTTCCCTCTTAACAAGGTTTCTGCACCAAATTTGACTGGGTTTGCTGCCATATATCCTGGGTTCCTGAATATTTCTAGGGTTCACTGAAGAAAGCTACAAGGGGTGACCACCTTCATTTATCCAACTAGCAGAAGCAGAAAGATTTGCTATCCAGCCGTTTGGTGTGATCCTATGGTTGCAGTCTGTAGCTATTGGACATCTATAAATATTTGCTCAGAAGTAAAAGGTGATTAGAGCTATGTCAGCTGAACAATTACTTAACAAATGGAGCTGATCTGCTCTGGTCTGTATTGGATCACAAATGTCATTATGCCGAGAGAGAGAGAGAGAGAGAGAGAGAGAGAGAGAGAGAGAGAGAGAGAGAGAGAGAGAGAGAGAGAGAGAGAGAGAGAGAGAGCGCCTTTATTGTCTTTTTTTTTTACTGTGGGCACAATGGCACACATTAAAAATGAAATTTAGTTGCTTGCTCTCAAAGTGTACACATACTTAACACACATTTAAACATACTATATACAACATGCATAGACCTACACCCTTACATATAAGTAACATGTAAATATTAATCACTGTCCATCTTGAATACATAACAGAAGGAGGAAGCTTTCAGAGTTCACAATGTTAACACTGTATGGAACAAAACTGTGACAATCTGGATGTTCTGTTTCGGATACCACAGAGCCTCCTCCCAGAAGGTAACAAGGAAAATAAGTCATGAAGAAGATGTGTAGTGTCCCAAACAATCTTGTAGACCTTGCTCAAGCAACGCTTATGTGGCATGTCCTGGATGGAAGGGAGGGAACTGCCAATAATCTTTTCAGCCATCCTCATCACTCTCTGCACTGCCTTCCTTTCTGAAGCAGTGATGTTTCTAAACCAGACTGTGATGCTGTATGACAGGATGCTCTCGATCGTCCCTCTGTAGAAAGTGGTAAGGATAGGGGAAAGAAGATGTGCTTTTCTCATGCGATGCAGAAAATGCAGGCGCTGCTGTGCCCGCTTCACCAGTATCTCGCTGTTTAGCAACCAAGCCAGCCTACCTGTTAACTGCACACCTAGGAATTTGATGCTGGTAACCATCTCCACAGGCGAATCATTAATGCACAGAGAAGTGTGGCTGTACTTGTCTTTTCTGAAATCAACAATGATCTTTTTACCATAGGAGTATGGTAATGTTATCAAGCCAAATCTATTGAGTGAGAATCACTGTGAAGATCCCAGGATGTCCTCAGCGGGCTTGCTCCTTTCTTTTTGTTCAATGGTTTATACACTTAGGCTTGGGATTTTGGATTTGAAAGGCTATATTAGAGAAAAATCAAAAGAACAAAACTACAGTTCCTTCCAGATGCTTCAAAAGCTCCAGATTTGAAAGTATTAAATAATTAGGTTAATATTCAAAAATGCATTCCATTTAATCAATGCAAAGAGCTCAATAATCCTAAAATATCAGAGGTCTCCAACATTTTGGGCACCAAGGACCGGTTCCATGGAGAAAGGTTTTCCATTTCATGTACTGCCTTCATCCCGCGGATGGGGCTTTGCTTGTTTGCACGGTTTCTGGCATGCTGCGGCCCAGTACGGGTCCATGGACCTGGGGTTGGGGACCCCTGTAATATATATAATGTTGTAAAGTCTGCCATGATGACTTGAGTCGCCATGATTTAAATGCACTCATTTCTTAGAAACAAGGTGTTTGCCACTGCTTTCTTTCAGGAAGGTTGGTTTGTCAGTAATCTATCTGGGCAGATATAATGTACCGATCCTCACATTTTAATATCTATTGCCTAAATGAACATTAATAAAGTTGCTATGCATTTGTGATATACTCTTTTATTATTTTTTAATCTTTTAACATCCTTGAACTGCATTTTATGTTAGAATGGTTGATATACAGTATTTTTAAACTGAAAAACATAATATTCTGGGATATATTTTAATGTAATAATGTCCTTTTAGAGTTGACAATGAAGACATTGAAGTGGTAGATAGTGTATATGGAATCAACTATTGTTAGCCAAGAAATCAGCAGTCAAGAAGTACAGATTGCTTGGTAGAGTAGCAATGAAGGTGTTGAATTAGAAATTCAGAGACAGGGATGTGTCTATACTAATGAAAATTAGAATCCTTGAACTTAGACATTGGAGAAGACTCCTGAGGATAACACAGATATCCAAGAAAAGAAATAAACAGATCCAGCAGCAACCCAGAATATTTACTCAAGGCACAAAGATAAGGCTCAAACAATCATATTTGCACATATTATGTAAAGATCTGGTCTCTTGAAAAATGTGTAATGCTGGGAAAGGTAAAAAGAAAAACAAGAGGACAACTACCATCAAAATGAATGGACTCAATTACAACATCAATGGGTACATCAAACCAGAAGAACTATGTTCTGGACAAGTCATCCTGAATCAAATCTACCTATATGGTCACTAAGAGTTGACACCAACTTGATGGCACTTAATTGTCAATAATGCCCTACTGCTCAAAAACCTGCTGCTATAAGAATATACCTATGCAATCAGAATTCTCCATTTTTAAATAATTGTGTGCCTCTGAAAAGGTGAACTATAGCTTATGGAAATGTATATTAAAAAGAATGTGTCAATTTCATATAGCGCTGCTCAGGGTTCAAAAAATTAACTCACCCTGCTGCTGATTATTATACTGTTATAGATGTATTGAGTGTGTCTGCCACTAGATGCTGCTAAAGTGCTATATGTTTTAAGTTAGTCCACTATTAATGATTTTAGTTAAGACAGACAACAGTGATTTACAAAAGGTTTCCACATTTATCTTTTACGTATATGGTTCTCTGGTAAGAATGGGCCACATTCTGGTAACTGAGGCCACAATTAACCTGATTTTTTTTTTAATTGGGGGAGCAAATGATGCCAGTTGAGTAACCC